GAGAGGGAGAGAGAGAGGGAGAGAGAGGGAGAGAGAGAGGAGAGAGAGAGGAGAGAGAGAGGGAGAGAGAGGAGAGGAGAGGGGGGAGAGGGAGAGAGAGGGAGGAGGGGGAGAGAGGGCAGAAGTTTCACGAGTTATGTAAACAAACGTTGTTGTTACCAGCCTGGACACGAATGGTTTCTGTTCACTCTGTCAAGCCGACCAGAAAAACATCTCATATTTGTTAATTTATATGTTATGTAGCATGTTTATTATATAATTTTGAAAAAAGAAATCATAGATGGATTAAGCAAAATGTCTATATTAACGTTTTATACACATTTAATGCGCCTCAGTGATTATTATTGTGTTATCATTATTAATATGGCGTCTTCAAGACCAATTACACTCTTACTGAGTGGCTCTGAGACACAGGTAGACAGAAAGACAGACATACAGGTAGACAGAAAGACAGACACAGGTAGACAGAAAGACACACAGGTAGACAGAAAGACACACAGGTAGACAGAAAGACAAACACATAGGTAGACAGACACACAGAGATACAGACAGACACAGATATACAGGCAGACAAATACCGACAGGTTTATGTGCAACACTGAAAACAAATAGAGAGTTCGAGAGTAAGAGCCTTTCTTGTCACAATCTCCAGTGCAAGATTCAGACTTCATCTTAGGGGCCATGGTGAAATTTACTGTCCAGGTAGTACAGTTAATACAGTATGATGCTGCTGATAGGGCAGGGTTACTCAAACTGATGCTGCCTGCATGACGCATTTACCTCCATGAGTATTGTCAAATATTGTGCAGTGGTGTGCATCAGACGGCCCAGCCCAGCTGCCAGATGCACGGCCGTAAGTCGAGTGGACGTATGTCGAGCAGGTTATAAGTCGGATGGTAGGTGTACATACACACTCATCTGAGTTTTCTTTGTTTTTATCTTAATAGATCTTGTTCTTAATGCTTTTCCTTTTATATCCATGGGGAAGTAGAATAAGAATCTTTCCTCCTTAAGCCATGCATGTTGTAAAAGTCAACTAAAATGCCAGGAACAATGGGCTAGTAACCCCTTTTCCTGTATAGTCTACTAAAAAGAACAAGAAGAAAACCATCAAAGTGGGACGTTTGAATGTGTGTGGATGGTGTGCGAATGATAAGAATGAGATGATTGTGGATGTTATGAATGATAAGATGCTGGATGTCCTATCTAAGTGAAACAAAGTTGAAGGGGGTGGGAGAATTTCAGTGGGGAGAAATAAATGGGATTAGGTCAGGGGTTTCAATGCTAAAGTGGGTAAAAATGTTGTGGAGGGAGTAGTAGGTAAATCTGGGGTGCTAGGGGTAAATGAAAATGGGGAGCCTTTAATTGAGCTATGTGTAGAAAGAGGTTTGGTAATAAGTAATACATATTTTATGAAAAAGAGGATAAATAAATATACAAGGTATGATATACCACGTAATGAAAGTAGTATTGGTGGATAAAAGGCTGATGGGTAGGCTTCAGGATGTACATGCTTACAGAGGGGCAACTGATATATCGGATCATTATTTAGTTGTAGCTACAGTTAGAGTAAGAGGAAGATGGGACAAAAGGAAAATATCAACAACAAGTAAGAGAGAGGTGAAAGTGTATAAACTAAGGGAGGAAGAAGTTCGGGCGAGATATAAGCAACTATTGGCAGAAAGGTGGGCTGGTGCAAGGATGAGTAATGCGAGGGTTGAAGAGGGTTGGAATAGTTTTAAAAATGCAGTATTAGAATGTGGGGCAGAAGTTTGTGGCTATAGGAGGGTGAGTGCAAGAGGAAAGAGGAGTGATTGGTGGAATGATGAAATAAAGAGTGTGATAAAAGAGAAAAAAGTAGCTTATGAGAGATTTTTACAAAACAGAAGTGTTGTAAGGAGAGCAGAGTATATGGAGAGCAAGAGAAAGGTGAAGAGAGTAGTGAGAGAGTGCAAAAGGAGAGCAAATGATAGTGGGAAAGGCACTGTCAAGAAATTTTGACAAAAACAAGAAAAAATTTTGGAACGAGATAAACAGGAAAGCCTAGGGAACGAATGGATTTGTCAGTTAAAACAGAGTAGGAGAGTTAGTACATAGATGGGGAGCTGGACGTACTGGGTAGATGGCGGAAATATTTTGAGGAACTTTTAAATGTCGACGAAGAAAGGGAGGCGGTAATTTCATGCACTGGCCAAGGAGGTATACCATCTTTTAGGAATGAATAAGAGTAGCATGTGAGTGTGAGGGAGGTGTGTGAGGCATTATATAGAATGAAAGGGGGTAAAGCAGCTGGAACTGATGGGATCATGACAAAAATGTTAAAAGCAGGGGGTTATATAGTGTTGGAGTGGTTGGTATTTTTTTTTTAATAAATGTATGAAAGAGGGGAAGGTACCTAGGGATTGGCAGAGAGCATGTATAGTTTCTTTACATAAAGGGAAGGAGAGCAAAAGAGACTGTAAAAATTATAGAGAAATAAGTTCATTGAGTATACCAGGAAAAGTGTACGGTAGGGTTATTATTGAAATAATTAGAGGTAAGACAGAAGGTAGGATTGCAGATGAGCAAGGAGGTTTTAGAGTGGGTAGGGGATGTGTAGATCAAGTGTTTACATTGAAGCATATATGTGAACAGTAATTAGATAAAGGTAGGGAAGTTTTTATTGCATTTATGGATTTAGAAAAGGCATATGTCAGAGCGGATAGGGGAGCAATGTGGCAGATGTTGCAAGTATATGGAATAGGTGGTAAGTTACTAAATCCTGTAAAGAGTTTTTATGAGGATAGTGAGGCTCAGGTTAGGGTGTGTAGAAGAGAGGCAGATTACTTCCCGGTAAAAGTAAGTCTTAGACAGGGATGTGTAATGTCACCATGGTTGTTTCATATATTTATGGATGGGGTTGTCCACTCTGCCTCGGTGGGATACGGCCAGTGTGTTGAAAGAAGATGGGGTTGTAAAAGAAGTAAGTGCTAGGGTGTTGGGGAGAGGGGTGGGATTAAATTAAGGGGAATCAAATACAAAATGGGAGTTAACACAGTTACTTTTTGCTGATGATACTGTGCTTTTGGGAGATTCTAAAAAAAAAGTGGCAAAGGTTATTGGATGAGTTTCAGAGGGTGTGTAAAGGTGGAAAGTTGAAAGTGAACATTGATAAGAGTAAAGCGATGAGGGTATCAAATGATTTAGATAAAGTAAAACTGGACATCACATTGGAGAGAGGGAGTATGGAAGAAGTGAATGTTTTCAGATAATTGGGAGTTGATTTGTCAGAGGATGGGTTTACGAAAGATGAGGTTAACCATAGAACTGATGAAGAAAAAAAGGTGAGTGGTGCATTGAGGTATCTGTAGAGACAAAAAAACATTATCCATGGAGGCAAAAAAGGGAACATATGAAAGTATAGTGGTACCAACACTCTTGTATGGGTGTGAAGCTTGAGTTGTAAATGTTGCAGTGAGGAGGTGACTGGAGGCAGTGGAGATGTCATGTCTAAGGGCAATGTATTGTGTAAATATTATGCAGAGAATTCCGAGTGTGGAAATTAGGAGGAGGTGTAGAGTTATTAAAAGTATTAGTCAGAGAGCTGAAGAGGGGTTGTTGAGGTGGTCTGGTCATTTAGAAATAATGGAACAAAGTAGAATGACTTGAAGAATGTATAAATCTGTAAGGGAAGGAAGGCAAGGTAGGGGTCGTCCTCAAAAAGGTTGGAGGGAGGGGGTAAAGGAGGTTTTGTGGGCATGCGTGAGCATGTTGGATCGGAGTGAATGGTTTTAGGGACCTGACGAGCTGTTGGTGTGAGCAGGGTAATATTTTGTGAAGGAATTCAGGGAAACTGGTTAGCCAGACCTGAGTCCTGTAAATGGGAAGTACAATGCCTGCACTTTGAAGAAGGGGTTTGGGATACTGGCAGTTTGGAGGGACTTCTAAACTGTTGTATCTGAGCACTTCTGCAAAGACAGTGATTATGTATGAGTGATGGTGAAAGTGTTGAATGATGAAAGTATTTTTCTTTCTTTTTGGGTTTTTCTTTCTTTTTGGGTCATCCTGCTTTGGTGGGAAACAGCTGATTTGTTAAACTGTAGTTCCACAAAAAAACTCACATACTGGAGAGGAAACTTTAGATGATATTTTGGTCCATCCTAAATTCCCAAGGAATTCATTATTTGTGAATTATTGTGGCCAATGTATTATGACTTATTCCTTATCTGGATTATTGAAAGCCTTAATAACCAAATGCTACACTTGCTCCTCAACTAGATTTTTAACCTTTCTGCTAAATCCACTTTGTTTCAATAACTAAGTTTGAAGCAGACACACACTGTCTCCTAGTCCAATGGTCTATTTCCTTAATCCTAGTGAAGCTATTGTTTGAGATCAATATCTTACATTTACTTATCTTAATGTAGAAATACAGTGGACCCCCAACTTACGAACAGCTCCCAACTTGAACAATTATGTAAGTGTATTTTTGTAACTGCTTCTGTAAGTGTATTTTTGGGGGTCTGAAACAGACTAATCTAATTTACAATATTCCTTATGGGAGCAAATTTGTTCGGTAACAGCACCCGAACAGCCTTCTGGAACGAATTAATATCGTAAGTCAGGGGTCCACTGTATATGCCAAATTTCACTGGTGGTTCAGCTACAAGAGCTTGATAGTACTAATAAAGATTGCCTCAAAAATACATGTATGCGGGTAAATCAATAGTTATAAGTTAAGGAAAAAGATTGAGAGAGGAGTATGAATAGAAAGATCAATTATGTATGGAGGTTGGAAGACTGTAGCAGATCACCACATACTGCTCCAATGCCAATAAAGTCAGAGAACAAGTCATCTATGAGAAAAAGGAAAAAAAGCGTACGTACTTAAGTTACTAACTTGTTCTATGTTAGTGTTTACATGGGCCAACTGTTCTGTTTTTGTTAAATTAATTTTACTTAAAATAAAGCAGCTCTATATTACTCTAATTAGATGTTAAAACTTATTTTTTATCATATACCTCATTGTCAGATTCAAAGAGAATCTGATCATATTCAGAGAGAGCAACAAGGAAGATAATAGAAGTAACGTTCTCAAAGCAATGGATCCACTTCCGTCGCTCAGATCGCTGACCACCCACATCTACCATTCTGAAAGTAGTGGCAAGGATGAGTTTCACAGTAAAGGTTACTGGGAAAAGCTTCTGTATTACAAAAACAAAATTCTATAACTGAGTAAAAATTAATTTTTAGATAAAGCTGATGTAAATACTCAAAAACAACTACCATTAATTTGAGAATATACTATCAAAAGATTCATAAAAATCTTAGCTAATATTTTATTTTGCAGATGCACGATATTAATCAAAATAAACTGTGTGTGCACATGCGTGCGTGCGTGTGTGTGTGTGTGTGTGTGTGTGTGTGTGTGTGTGTACATGTGTGTGTACATGTGTGTACATGTGTGTACATGTGTGTGTACATGTGTGTGTACATGTGTGTGTACATGTGTGTGTACATGTGTGTACATGTGTGCGTACATGTGTGCGTACATGTGTGTTACATGTGTGTGTGCGTGCATGTACTCACCTAGTTGTACTCACCTAGTTGAGGTTGCAGGGGTCGAGTCTGAGCTCCTGGCCCCGCCTCTTCACTGATCGCTACTAGGTCACTCTCCCTGAACTGTGAGCTTTATCATACCTCTGCTTAAAGCTATGTATGGATCCTGCCTCCACTACATCGCTTCCCAAACTATTCCACTTACTGACTACTCTGTGGCAGAAGAAATACTTCCTAACATCCCTGTGATTCATCTGTGTCTTCAACTTCCAACTGTGTCCCCTTGTTACTGTGTCCAATCTTTGGAACATCCTGTTTTTGTCCACCTTGTTAATTCCTCTCGGTATTTTGTATGTCGTTATCATGTCCCCCCTATCTCTCCTGTCCTCCAGTGTCGTCAGGTTGATTTCCCTTAACCTCTCCTCGTAGGACATACCTCTTAGCTCTGGGACTAGTCTTGTTGCAAACCTTTGCACTTTCTCTAGTTTCTTTACGTGCTTGGCTAGGTGTGGGTTCCAAACTGGTGCTGCATACTCCAATATGGGCCTAACATACACGGTATACAGGGTCCTGAACGATTCCTTATTAAGATGTCGGAATGCTGTTCTGAGGTTTGCTAGGCGCCCATATGCTGTGTGTGTGTGTGTGTGTGTGTGTGTGTGTGTGTGTGTGTGTGTGTGTGTGGTGTGTGTGTGTGTGTGTGTGTGTGTGTGTGTGTGTGTGTGTGTATGTGCGTGTGTACGTGTGTATGTGTACGTGTGTGTGCGTGTGTGCATGTGTATGCGTGTACATGTGTGTACATGTGCGTACGTGTGCGTACGAGTGGGTACGTGGGGGTACGTGTGGGTACATGTGTGTATGTTTGTGTGTCTGTGGTGTGTTTACATTGTGTGTGTACGCACATACGTGTGTGTGTGCATGTATGCACGTGTGTGTGCACCGTGTATGTGTGCATGTGTGAGCACACGTGGGTGCACATTGTATGTGTGCACACGCATGCATGTGCTCGTACAAACGTACGTACAATTACCTATTTGTAGCTTCAGGAGTAGAGCTAAGCTCGTGGTATCCTGTCTTCGGTATTTATCATACAACTTGTTCAAACGTTTCCAGAGATTATAGCACTTCAGAGTACTACCTCATCTTGTAAACCATTCTAGTGTTTTTCTAGTGTTTGAGAATAATACAAATTTAGTACATATTAAGTAGTGCTTCCCTAGTTTATAGCTATGGCTTCTTCTCCCTGTTCATACTGTCATGGAATTTTGTGTATTAATTCTTCACAGGCTTTGAAAATCATATACCTGTGATCATCACATCTATTCTCTTCTTTCTAACAATCCAGTGACGGCACGATGTCTAATGCTTTCAGCTTTTTTTTTTTTTTTTTTTTTTTTTTTTTTACATCTTGGATCCACTTGATATTCTTCTAGCTAGTGAATTTTCCTTAGTTGCAGACACCATACCACCTTTGAGTATTCCATTTTGGGTTTAACATGTATTGCAACCAGCTTTCTTAGCATTTCCCCATCCACATATCTAGATGCTATATACAGTGGTGTCCTGTAGCTCAATCACTAGTGCACTCAGCTCACACGCTGAGGTCCGGGGTTCAAATCTCCTCTGGTATGGCTGGAAAACATTAGGAACGTTTTTCCATAAGACACCTGCTGTCCCTGTCCCTGTTCACCATCAGTTCAAAATGGGTACCTGGGTGTTAGTCGACTGGTGTGGGTCGCATCCTGGGACTAAACTGACCTAATATGCCCGATATGCTCAGCATAACAAGTGGCTTTCTATATAGTAGTATGTCACTGATGTCAGCTAGGCCTGTATACCATGTACATATACTTGTAGTAAATAAAAATATTATATATACATGTATTATAGTGTTGCACTAAAGTTTTTCACAATATCATTATCTTCCTATAAAACAATTTGTCAATAATGACTTCTAGGTTCCCTAATTATTTGATTATTTTAATACTGTAGTTTGTATTCTCCACATCACACATTTTCTCTTTCTCCCATTTCTATCACGCAGCACTTTTTTCTTAACATGCTGGTTGTCTCTCACTGAGGCAGGGTGACCCAAAAAAGAAAAAAACTTTCACCATCATTCACATATAATCAGTCTTTGCAGAGGTGCCCAGATATGACAGTTTAGATATCACTCCAAACAGCCAATATCCCAAACCCCTCCTTTAACCCTTTCAGGGTTTCGGACCTACTAGTATGGCTTACACACCAGGGTTTTTGACGTACTAGTAAGCATAAATTCTAGCGCCCTCAAATCTAGTGAGAAAAAGCTGGTAGGCCTACATATGAAAGAATGGGTCTATGTGGTCAGTGTGCGCAGTATAAAAAAAATTCCTGCACCACACAGTACGTAATGAGAAAAAAAAAAACTTTGTGTTTTTGGATTAAAACAGCGACTTTGCACTGTATTTTCGTATGGTATTTATTGTTGTAGTCTAGTTTTCCTGGTCTCTTTTATAGAATGGAAGACATATTAGAGAAATTGAGATGATTTTGACTGGTTTTACAATGAAAAGTACCTTGAAATTGAGCTCAAAGTAGCAGAAATGTTTGATTTTTACCAAAGTTCAAAAGTAAACAAATCATGCTAAGCGTCCAATACATGTCAACTGGCGACTCTAATATTCTTTCACAAGTGCGCCGATATTATTTATACCATTTCTACACTAATGCAGTAGTTTGCATAACAGTAAATCTTCTATTTTTTATGAGAATAAAAATTCAAAGTGGAAAGCAAAAGAATGTAAGAGGGGCATGGGGATGTGACTAATGAACAGAGGAAATGTTATTTTAGTGCCAGGAATGTCTTTCTTGTTTATTCTGGACCCTATTTGGAAATTGGCAAAATTGCTAAATTCTGACCAATGTATTGGTAAATGGTAAATGGGTGGTTTCTTGTACTCATTCGATAGAAAAAATGGAGTTCTAGCGAAATAGTTATGATTTTTGTCGACTAGTACACTGGAATTGGCCGAAAATAGGGCTCAAAGTGGGCAAAATCGCTGATGCGTCAACATCGTCGAGACTGCTAACTTCACGAGAGCATAATTCCGCAAGTTTTCCATCAAATTTCATACTTTTGGTGTCATTATGATCGGGAAAAGATTCTCTATCTTTTCATAAAAAATCATTTTTTTTTTTTTTAAATTTGGGTGACCCTGAGAACAAGTCTGGGAGAGGGCCTGGGGACCCTGAAAGGATTGACCCTTTTTGAAGGAATTCAGGGAAACCAGCAGGCCCGACATGAGTCCTGGAGATGGGAAGTACAGTGTCTGCACTCTGAAGGAGGGGTGTTAATGTTGCAGTTTTGTGAACTGTACTGTAAAGCACCCCTCTGGCAAGACAATTGTAAACTCCTCCATCCTCTGCCATCCTCCCATCTCATCACTCATCAATACATCTTCAATAAACCTAAGTGTCATTTCAGTACTGTTTATTCTGCATGTCTCATTGTTTTCTGTGTAGGGAAAAGTATATTTCATGTAAAAAAAATATTTTGTTTAATACTTTTGGGTGTCTGGAATGGATTAATTGGATTTCCATTATTTCTTATGGGGAAAATTAATTCTGATAACTAAAAAATTGGTTAAAGACAAGCTCTCTGGAACGGATTAACCCTTTCTGGGTTTGTGCCGTAGTTCTACAGCTTTGAGTTGAGGGTCCAAACTGTAGATCTACACCATGAGCTCAGCTCACTCTGATAAGCTGTGAGCGGTAAATTTGGGCCTAGATACGAGAGAATATATCTATGTGATATGTGTGCACCGTATAAAGCAAATCCTGCAGCACACAGTGCACGAGAGAGAAAAACAGACAGTAATTTTCGATTAAAACAGCAACTTTCCAGTGTTTTTTGTATTTTTTTTTTATAGTTGTATTTGCGATTTCTTGGTCATTTGATAGAATGGAAGATATGTTACAGAAACAGAGATGATTTTGATTGGTTTTAGTACTGGAAATGGCTTGAAACTGAGCTCAAAATAGCAGAAATGTTAAATTTCTTCAGATGTTCAAGAGTAAACAAATGACCTCACATGTCTAATACATGCCAGCTGGTGGGTCTAATATATGTTCACAAATGTGGTGATATTATTTATACAATTATTACAATATTGCATAAGAGTAAATCTATTTTTGGTTTGAATAAAAATTCATTATGTGAATAAAAAATCAAAATGGAATCCATTTGTAAAGCCTGAAAACATAACTAATGAACAGAGGAAGTGTTAGCTTAGTGCCAGGAATGCCTGCATTGTTTATTCTGGACCCTATTTTGAAATTGGAATATTCTGAACTTTGTTAAATTGGCCATATTACCAATTTCCAATCAATTTATTTTGTAGATGAAACAGTTGACTTGGCGATTTCTTGTGCTCAATCGATAGAATAGAGGTAATACTAGTGAAACAGCTAAGAATTTGGTCGACTGGAATAATGTAATTGGCCTAAAATTGGAGTCAAAGTCGGTGAAATCGCTGATGCATAAATATTGCTGACACCTCAAAATTCGCGAGAACATAATTTCGTCAATTTTCCATCATATTTCACACTTT